AGTACCTCCCCCACTCCACGGACTACCTACACCCCCACCCCCCACCCCACGCGCACCTAAACCTCATAGTTTGTTGTTGTAGTTAACCCTATCTGTACGTCATGTTTTACTATCGTATCCATACGACGTAACCCTATCCGTACGTCGTGTTTTACTATCGTATCCATACGACGTGGGGAACACTGTGCCACCACTTAACCCTATCCGTACGTCGTGTTTTACTATCATATCCAAAGACGTGAGGAACTCTGTGCCACCACTTTCACTCATTAATCCGACCGTACGCTTTGCATAGCAGTCTGTCAAAATGATTTTTTGTGAAATACTGAAATTTTCAAAGAGATCTTTGCGTTAGAAATATTCTCAACTGTGAAGAATACAACCCCGGGGGTAGAAAATGACCCCAGGGCGTGCGGATAGGGTTTTAATGTGTCCGGTTTATAATATCATGTATGTATGTATGTATGTATGTATAAGTACAATGTATATTTTCTCCCTGTCTGTCAGCTCCTCTGTCAAGTTCTGACTCCACAGTATTTTGGTGTGTCTGCTACACCTAGCCAAAGATCGTTCATAACGAGTTAGATAGTTCACTCGGCCAAAAAGTGTCCGCGGAAGTCCGTGCATTGCTTCAGATGGCGCTGCAGTCTTTGTTTTGAAGATCACAACTGGACATGGATGACTGGTGCTTCTATAAAACTAAATTATTGATGGTCAGGTTTTGAAACTCTCTCTCGTTTCTCCAGAGAAGAACAGAAATAGCACAGCTTGTTAGTTTCGCTTTTATTGTTTTTCACACAACTAGGGTAACCACTTTGTTCGCAAAGTCCGCGCTTTTTCGAAGCCACTGAATTTTGAGGACACATTTTTAATTGGCTCAAAGAGAGGAGTGAACTATCTTTTTATGTACGATCTTTGACACAGCATAGATGTGAGAATGTAAATATAGGCCTATGTTATATGGTCAAAACTGTCTGAGACTGCCATCTGTAGTGGCCGAGACAAGAGGCCTTCACTTCACACACAGAGATGGCAGTCTTACACTACACAGTGGCAGTATAATTATTTATAATGATGTGAACAAAAAGTAGAAATAAAATGTAAATGAGAAGTGGCCGTTTGTACAGGTGATTGGCTATCTTAATACAAGTGGCCGTTTGTACAGGTGACTGTCTGTCTTATACAGGTGGCCGTTTGTACAGGTGATTGTCTGTCTTATACAGGTGGCTGTTTGTACAGGTGATTGTCTGTCTTATACAGGAGGCCGTTTGTACAGGTGATTGTCTGTCTTATACTATACAGGTGGCCGTTTGTACAGGTGATTGTCTGTCTTATACAGGTGGCCGTTTGTACAGGTGATTGTCTGTCTTATACAGGAGGCCGTTTGTACAGGTGATTGTCTGTCTTATACAGGTGGCCGTTTGTACAGGTGATTGTCTTGTACAGGTGGCCGTTTGTACAGGTTATTGTCTGTCTTATACAGGTGGCCGTTTGTACAGGTGTTTGTCTGTCTTATACAGGTGGCTGTTTGTACAGGTGATTGTCTGTCTTATACAGGTGACCGTTTGTACAGGTGATTGTCTGTCTTATACAGGTGACCGTTAAAGTAGGTTCGACTGTTGTTATAATATGTATAAGTTTTGGACGTTCATTATGATGTACATAAAGCCCTTATTGCTGAGTCGCCCATGTGTGTGCAATGTTTGGCAGTGTGTCTCTTTGAGCTTTTTCTCTCCTGGACAGTGACGTCATGAACTATGCCGGTCAGTTTTGTCCAGCTGTGTCAAGTGGTTACTATGTAAGTGAAGGGCTGGCAACTATTTAAGTGCTGGCAATAAAAATAAAGTTGAGAGAAAAGTTGATGATACATTGCACCAGAGATCTGGCCTTTGTTTGTGTTCATTATTGTGTGTCATATAGATCTACATGTGTCATTGTTTGTGTTCATTATTGTGTGTCTTATACATGTGTCATTGTTTGTGTTCATTATTGTGTGTCTTATACATGTGTCATTGTTTGTGTTCATTATTGTGTGTCTTATACATGTGTCATTGTTTGTGTTCATTATTGTGTGTCGTAAACATGTGTCATTGTTTTTGGGAAGGGTTTTTTTAATATCATTTTCGTGGGTGGTTGGCGGGTGCTCTGGTACGGTTTGCGCCTTAATCTTCCCTGTCAAACATCTATCGTCCTTATCTCTCCTATTTCTTTTTTTGTGTGTGCTGCTCTCTTGTAACACGTCTTTTCTTCGGCATTTATAATATATGACCTTATTGTGTAGCAGGTGCCGTAAAACTTTTACTACAACTTTTATCATTTTCTGTGTTTGACGTTTTGTGTTTCGAACATGATGCTCTGGTGTGGTTTATTCCTTCTGTCCTATCAAACATCTATCGTCCTTATCTCCCCTCCTTCTTTTTGGTGTATCGTATGTTACTGTTACTCTCTTGTAACTCCTCTAATCTTCGGCGCTTGCATGGCCAAATTGTGTAGCAACGCTATAAAAAAACTGTTTCTAAAACTAGTAAAACAAACACAAAAGAGGCACTTTGTCATTTTATATGATCAGTTGTTTATGTTCAGTGTTGTAGCCATCCATACTTGGGGAATCCCCCCT